ATTCTAGTAGACAACCTGTGGGGCAGTTTGTTCATCAACTCCAATGCAAACGAAGGTCCAGATAGAACAACATAAGGCTGACGTGGATTTCTCAGCGCTCGCGGGATTATTTGCGACATCGTTCTAAACGTATTCAGCTCCAATCCTTTGCTGAGAGAGATAAAAGGCAGGCTTGGATCGACATAATCGGCTATTTCCTCAAGGAACGAGGCACTGAACTGCCAATAGGTAAGCAAATTTTCTGTTTTTAAACTTTTTTTTTGTCTTTTAATTCAAGATTCCAACATAATCGGCTATCGATACCTGGACAGGTACAGAGTGGAAGCAAAAGTCGGCACCCTCGAGAGCAGCTTTAGCATTCGTTGTGGCGACGACATTTTCGGGCAGCTTGTGAGCTGGAAAATACTTGCTGCAGTATGTATGTACGCATGTATAAGGACAAGTACGAAAGTGTTTTCCGATAAAAAAATAAACGAAGATGTGTGATTCATTACCAATTGAAATGATTTTCGTTGATCGATCGACAAACTTGGTGATCTCGAACAAGCATACTAACTTCCAGCTGGGATTTCCTATTGGCTACATGAGCAGCCATGGCAGTTCCGAAAGATCCGCCTCCAAGCACCACAACCTAAATACCAAAACAAACAAAAACACATGCTATATAAATTCCTCTCTTAAAACAACCCTAATCTCTAAATCAGCTAGCTACATTTTCAATAGAAAAATCATTAATTCAGAAAAAGAACAAAAGCAATGTTCGAGATTTTCGAAGAATTGAGACCTTGTTAGTGCGTTCAAGAACATCGGTCTTGGCTTTGGACCGCAGAGAGCGAGACCAGCGGACCAGCTTCTCCCACGCCACGCGCACGATTTTGCGCCGGTCCTTGCTTCTCTCTAGTGAAGTGTTGTACTCTGGGGAAGTCTCCGCCGCCTGCGGCGGCGGAGGCGACGGTGGTGGGAGGACGGTTTCACCGGCGGCGCAAAGGCAGATGTGGGACCGGGGGAGAGGGATAAAATAGGTAATGGGTTTGGAGTTTAGAGGGTTGTAAGGGAGATGGGTCTGGGTTTTGAAGAGTGAGTGGGTGGCTGAAAACGGTGGCGGCTCCAGCAATGAAGCAGCAGCCATTGGCGATTTTGTTCTGTTTACTGAGAGAGAAGAAAAAAAGAAGCCAAAATTATTTGGGGAGTGTTTTATCCAATACATCCATCCCACGTGTCCTGTGCTTACACTTTTCTGATTATTTTATTTATTTTACCAGAAATGGAAATTATAGCCCAAATGCCAGGCTGGCTGATAACATACCCTAGCAGTGATGTTCGGTTAGTGAGGTACACCAAGTGTTTAATGGAAGTCCTCACCTAGAAACAAGTTTGTAAAAAGCGGTAATTGCGGAGGCGGTCAGGGACCGACTCATGATTAATCGGTGCGACGATACTTAGTCGGTTATAAAGTGAAAATAAATTGGTTTTTAAAATTTAATATAATATATTTCTAGATATTATTTATAAATACTCAAAACATATATAAAAAGATATTTAAACATAATTATATTTCCATCATATATATATCCTAATAAACTAATAAAAGTTTAATAATAATAAGATCATAATACATAAATATTCTTATAAAATATAAATAAAAATGCAATTTTTTTGAATTTACATTTATTCTTAAATATTCGTAGCATACATTATTAGTTCTTTAACAATAACAGTTAACATAAACTTATATTTTGTTTATTAAAATCCCAACTTTTATTTTGAATTAAAAAAAAACGATTTTTGACCGATTTTTGCTACCGAAGTTTGACCCGCTATAAAGGTCTGACCGCCTCATACTGCCTCGGACCACCTCAGACCGCCTAAAATCACCTCACAGGCAAAAAACCGATTTTTCAAACCTCTACACTAAAGTCGTAAAGGTTTTTGACCGCCTCCGCCTCGATCGATTTTTAGAATACTACTTGGAAATGATGAAATTACGATCACTCGTGAGGTAAGATTAAATTATGATTTTTCGTGTAATTTCTTACACGTACACTCTTGTGTCAAATCTAGCGGAATTTTCTAGATTATGTGAGATATTCAGTTTGTACTCGTTTTACCTCTTTCGAGCTTCACATACTGAAACAAGATGATCATAAGATACGACGTTTCTTGACTTTGTACATATCAGATTATGGTGCATCAGAAAACTGTTTTTTGCACAAAACGTGTACAAACTAGAGAAAATTCCACGAAATCTAAAAGATTATGGTGAATTTGACACTTTAAGCGTGGACGTGTAAGAAGATTCATAGTTTATGGTGATTATAATTACCAAAACATGAGCAATTTTTTCGTAATTTAACATTAATCTCAACTGATTCAAACAATCACTTTTGACCACATGATTAAAGATATGCAAGAGTGATAATATAAACAATTAACGAGCTAATGGAAGAACCAAATCCTAAATTAGCAGGCAGACAATAGAGATTAGAGACAGATAATCATCGCCATTGAAGTTTTGTTTATCACGTGATTGTTATTTATTTACTAACATCACCCACATTTTCGTCTACATACATCTGAAACTTCAACTAATTACTATTTCCACGACCACATGCCTCTTACCCACACAAAACACTCCGTAATCTCCCGACCTGTCATTTACAAAAACAACCTTTCTTTAGCAATCAACCAAATACCAACATTACCCTTCATTCCACGCAACAAAAACTCCTCAAAGAATGGGCAATCTCGTCATTTTACCTACCCAATAATTGCATGCCACTACATATATTCCGCAATCGTTAACGGATCCAAATAATAATTCAACCACACAACAGAAATTTCAGAAAGGACCCACCGGAAAACTCCCCCAGGCATGGCTCCGGCGAGCGATGCCACCGGGGCCGACGCGCCGCTCCTCCCCCCCCACCACCACCACGAGGTGGGCCGGCCGCGGAAACCAGCGTCGGTGGCGGGGGCAGTTTTCAACGTGTCGACGAGCATAATCGGAGCGGGGATTATGTCGATTCCGGCGACTCTGAAAGTCCTGGGAGTTGTTCCGGCGTTCGTGATGATAGTTCTGATAGCAGTCGTGGTGGATGTATCCGTGGAGTTCCTGTTGAGGTTCACTTACTCCGGCGAGTCCAGAACCTACGCCGCCCTAATGAGGGAGTCTTTCGGCCGGCTGGGCTCCGTCGCCGTTCAGATATGTGTCATGATTACCAATCTCGGCTGCCTCATCATGTACCTCATTATCATCGGTGAGCACATCCCTTCGATTTCAATTCAATTTCTTAATTTCAAGTGAAAAAAAAATAGATATTTTTGCAAGGAACGCCCCTGTGTAATCTCTAAATATTGAAAAAGCCCTCGTATTAAATATATTAGCATAAAGCCCCCTAAAAAAAATTAGTCAAAGCCAATAAGGCCCTACGAGCTGAATGTGCGTTGCACGCGTGGATTTCGCAACTTGCGGTATTTTTTTTGACCTGAAAAGACCAAACTACCCTTTAAAACATAAATTTAGAAAATTATAAATTGAATCCCATAGTTTTTGTAAGACTCAAAATAAAAGTTTCATAATTTTCTTTTATATTTAAATTTTAATGTAAAAAAATTATTTTGTAAATTTAAATTGAAATATTTTTAAAATAATATTAGGGGTAATTTTGTCATTTCATTGAAGTAACAAACCAATTTTAATATAAGGAGTTGCGGGCTTTGTAAATCGTAACGTAGGGGGCTTATTGCTAATTTTTTTTAACATAGGATTTTTTTCGACAATTAGAGATTACACAAGAGGGTCTGTGCTAAGAACTCGGAAAAAAATTGAATCTTTACTCATTATATATTTGCTAATTAGGAATTTTATTACAGGGGATGTCCTTTCCGGGACAGGGCCTGATCACTTGGGGGTTTTGCAAGAATGGTTTGGGACCCACTGGTGGAATTTACGAGCTGTTGCCCTCGTCTTCGTAGTTGTTTTCGTTATGCTTCCACTTGTCCTGTTTCGTCGCGTAGGTACGCAAAAACCCGAAATGCGAAACCCAAGAAAATTAATTAATCTTGTTACTTAATTTTTGTTTTCTAAGTTAAATTTGTGTTTGTGTTGAATTTAATTTACAGAATCGCTATGGCTAAGTTCAGCTGTATCGGTATTCCTAGCAATCGTGTTTGTCGGTATATGCTCTGTAATGGCAATCACAGCGCTCGTAAAAGGGGAGACGAGGACTCCAAGAATCGTACCTCAATTAGACAACGGCGTTTCGTTTTTCAACCTCTTCACAGCTATCCCGGTTATCGTCACAGCATTCACATTCCACTTCAACGGTAATTAATCAATTAATTAACAACAAATCAACACATTTACAATAATGCCACACGTGTTTTTTTCCGGTGCAGTTCATGCAATTGGAGTCGAGCTAGGTAAACCGGAAGAAATGATCACCGCAGTGAAGATCTCATTAGTACTTTGTGCCGGCATCTATTTTGCGATCGGGATTTTCGGGTATCTTTTGTTTGGGGAGTCTACAATGGACGATATACTCGTGAACTTCGACCAGAGTACTTCTTCGTCCGGGATAAGTTCGTTGCTGAACGACATTGTTCGTTTGAGCTACGCGCTCCACCTCATGCTGGTTTTCCCTCTCCTGAATTTCTCATTGAGGACGAACATCGACGAGTTTCTGTTCGCGAATAAGAAGCCGATTTTGGCTTTGAACAACAAAAGATTTGTCGTCCTCACTCTTGCTTTGCTGGTGTTGGCCTATGTTCTGGCAATAGTAATTCCTAGTATTTGGTACTTGTTCCAGTTCATGGGATCAACTTCTGCTGTCTGTTTAGCATTCATTTTTCCAGGTGCAGTTGTGTTGAGGTACTCTCTCTCTCTCTCTCTCTCTCTAGATCTCTCTCTCTCTCTTGGTTGTCTAATTATGTTTTTTGAATTGGACAGAGATAAACATGGGATTAGTACAGGAAAGGACAGGATTATAGCAGGGATTATGATAATTCTGGCAGTAATTACAAGCACCATAGCTATTTCAACCAATATATATAAGATGGTTGTATAATATATATTGTGTGCTTATAGTTATATAGTGTGAGTGTATCTTTTAATTTTAATTTTTCGTTGGAATATGTTGTTGTTATGATTAAATTTAGGACCAATTAGATTGAATTATTGTAACAATGAACTCGATGGAAATCCTCTTGGTGGATGTATATCAATATCATTGTTCATAAATTTTATTGCATCTAATATTATATACGGTTCGGTCCCCAATATTAAGTTTCGATTATAGTTAGCTCCGTACCTATCATGAAACGTCTGGAATGCCCTTCACTTTATATTATAATTACAACTACACTTCATTTCCACTTAAAAAAAGTTCACTAGTGGTAAAAACATGTTCTAACGAGAAACTTATAAGGGGGAATGGTAATGTTCAACTTCAAAGTACAGCACTGGAGACTGGCTAGTATACGAAACTAACCAAAATGAATTTACGAGCTAAAACCGCTTGATTAGTAGATTTAGTAACACATTTGGTTGATGATATTAAAATTAACTGCCACTATTCAATAAAATTAATAAATGACATCCCAAAATATTTCCATGAATGTTTTAAATTAGGATATTATTGTTAAAGAGAGGATATCATTGAAAATTGACATAAAATACTAGATTTTTAACAATTTTAATACTGGATCTAAACAATTAACCAAGCATCTTATACTAACTAAATAATTAGTTAGTAGGGGATAAATCCAATTCAATCTAATCTAATATATTTACATTAATTTAGATAAATGGTTAAGAAATGTTTACTAGTATTTTAGATTCAGATAAATATTAGATTTTGTAAAGATATAATATCTTTAATTTATTTTGACTGATTATTTAAATGAAAGAAAAAATATAAAATAATTTACAAAAGGAACTGGGCCAATTTTAAATTTTATTTGAATTTACAAAATAAGCCCATTTGCTTGTGGAATAAGGCCTAGATCACGTTCAGAAAATGAACGGAAAACAGCTAAATAAGATAAGAAGAGAACGGTCGGAGTAAAGAGGAAAATTCCGGTGGTACCGGTGGCGATATGGACATTGGAGCAGGTGGAGCCGCCGCCACCGTCGTTGGAGCCTTAATTGTTGGTATGCGCTATTCTTATTAAGCATTTGCCTTATTTGCGCTTTTCATCTCACCCGCTAAAGTTTCAAATTCATGAAAATATTATCAATTTATCATTCCCAAATATATTTGTAAACCTATCGCTGCTTGCTATGTGCTTGAGATGATGATTACTGAAATGCTTCAAAATGACCACAGGGTGCGGCTGCATGATAATGATGTTTGTTGAATGATGAACATCAGTTGTTTGATGAAAGTCCTGACCGGGAAATGTCTAATGAAGTGATGATGTAACAGTTAACAATTTTCTGCTGTAAAAGACATGGCGATAAGTTGTCATGCTAAATTTCTGTCTCTCGGATCCTTTCATAGTCGCGGATTATTTGAACCCGGTTTCTCTAATAGAAAAGAAGTAAGCGCTTCTTCTTTCATTATTGTTATATTTGTGAAAACTTGTGAGTTTACTGTATTGTAGCATGAGATGCAAGATTGTGATTTTGTGAAGTACTTGTTGAAATCTCCTCACTTGTTTCATATGTGATAATCTAATACCAGACTATTTGAAATTGTTGGCTGGCATAAATCAATCAATTAACTTACTATTCCTGAAATTTTCTCCAGGCTAGAAATTTGGCAGCAGCAAAGGCTTTTCAGTCGGTCCATGAAAGAAGTAGAATTGTTGGAAGTAAATTGTTTCAGGTTGATGAAAATTATGAGTTCTCTCAAAAGGCTCAAAGGCAAGAACTGATTGACCAGCTCCATTTGTGTGCTCAAAAGGAGCTGCTGAGGGAAGCAAGTGTAATTCATGGATATGTATTGAAGTCAGATTTTGCTGATGGTGACTTGCTGACGTTACTCAATCACGTAATGTATGCATATTTGAAATGCGAAGATTTTAAGTCTGCGAAGATTGTGTTCGACTATTTGCCGAGGAGAAATGTTTTCTCATGGAGCGTGATGATTGTAGGATTTAATAAGCGAGCACTTTTCCAAGACGGGTTGAGTTATTTTTGCAAGATGATGGATCAGGGAATAATGCCTGATGGATTTGCATTTTCTGCTGTCCTGCAATCATGCATTGGTATGGATTGTGTAGATTTTGGAGATGTGGTGCACACTCAGATAATTGTGGGAGGCTTTGGGTCTAACGTTGTTGTTTACACTGCACTTCTTAACATGTACGCAAAGCTCGGCAAAATTGAGGAGGCTTATAGAGTGTTCCGTTCTATGGCTGAACACAATGATGTATCTTGGAATGCAATGATATCAGGATTTACTGCCAACGGTTTGCACTCAGAGGCTTTTGGTCATTTTGAAAAGATGAAGGAGCAAGGCTTTGTCCCTAATGTGTTTACTCTAGTCAGTGTTCTAAAAGCTGTTGGGATGCTAGGTGATGTTGATAAGGGTAAACAAGTTCATGAATATGTATCAGCAAACGGCATGCAGGATAACATTGTTGTCGGTACTGCTTTGATTGATATGTACTCGAAATGCGGTGATTTACTGGAGGCGAGGTCTGTTTTCGATATGAATTTTGCCGAGTGTCAAGTAAATGGACCTTGGAATGCAATGATAAGTGGTTACTCGCAGTGTAAGTATAGCCAACAAGCTTTGCAATTGTATGTTCAAATGCGTCAAAATAATATGAGATGTGATATTTACACATACTGTAGCGTATTTGATGCAATTGCTAATTTGAGGTGCTTATCGTTAGTGAAGGAAGTACATGGTATGGTTTTGAAGTCGGGTTACGATTCAGTAGATCAAAGTGTTGAAAATGCAATAGCGGATGCATATGCCAAGTGTGGGTCTCTGAAAGAGGTGCAGAAAATCTTCAACAAGACGAACAGCAGAGACATAGTGTCCTGGACAACACTAGTTACTGGTTATGCTCAGTGTTCTAAATGGGAGGAATCACTGATTATATTCTCTCAGATGAGGGAAGAAGGGTTCACACCAAATAATTTTACACTAGCCAGTCTCCTTACTGCATGTGCCAATCTGTGTTATCTCGAGTATGGTCGTCAAACCCACGGCCTTCTCTGCAAATTAGGCTTTGAAACTGTGACACATATAGAAAGTGCTCTGATTCATATGTATGCTAAGGGAGGCTGTATAGTAGAGGCAGAGAAAGTTTTCAACCGAATATTAAATCCCGATGTTGTATCATGGACTGCCATTTTAGCAGGTTATGCTTATCATGGTTCTGTGGCTAAGGCACTTTGGTACTTCAAAAGAATGGAAGTAATGAGTATTAAGCCTAATGCTGTAACCTTACTATGCGTTTTATTTACGTGTAGCCATGCAGGTCTAGTCAAGGAAGGTCTTCAATACTTTCGGTCAATGGAGAAAGACTATGGTTTAGTGCCAAAAATGGAGCACTATGCTTGTGTGGTTGACCTCCTAGGTCGTGTGGGGCGACTCAATGAGGCATTTGAGTTTATAACGGAAATGCCAATCGAACCGGATGAAATGGTATGGCAGAGCTTATTGGCTGCATGCAGGGTTCATGGCAATGTTGAGTTCGGTGAAATAGCAGCCAAGAAGATTCTCTCTTTCTGTCCGGAATATTCTTCTACGTATGTTCTTTTATCGAACACGTACATGGAAACAGGTAGTTTCCAAGACGGGGTTAATCTGAGGAAAGTGATGAGAAAACATGGTGTTAGGAAGGAGCCAGGGTATAGTTGGATAACTGTGGAAGGTAGAGTCCACAGATTTTATTCAGGAGATACAAATCACCCCAAAAAGGATGATATCTATGACAAGTTAGAAGAGCTGAGAAGAACTATGAAAAGTTTGGGTTATATACCAGATTTGAAATATGCATTGCAAGGTGAAGATTGACAGGAAAAATCTTTCGAGAAATTTTAATTTTTGATGCGCTTTAAGATGAAAATAGAGTCCATGAGAGTCAACATCATATGAGCCGATTTTGCCTACGAAGACTTTTCCACTTCATGATCGGTGGTTCCAATTTTCAGTAAAACTAAAAGACAGGTACGTAAACATTTTAATGAAGTATTACTGTGGATAGTGATGTAATTGGCATGTGTTATCTTAAACTTCATCTTCTTAGGGGTTTTGCATTTTAATAAATGCTTTTATTTTTGTATGTATATTAAGACAAAATTTGGTCGGAACATTAGGTGGTTTAGTGGAAGACAAAGACTTCTTCGGACTTCCAACTAGAAAAGGTAACTTTACGGTGTGCAGTCCATCAAGTGAAAAAGACTCGTATAGGGATCATATTTCAACCCTCGTAAGATTTAGAACTTAGGTAACTGGATTATTTTGTTGATCTTCTTGAATTGGCACCATGCCTTAGTGTGATTCAGTTCTTTAAGCCTGTGGTTTCGTATAACATGGGAAGAAAGTTGAACATCTGCATTTCAATTTCGAGGATATTAGTTTTGGACATGAATAAAACTTACTCCGTGACTTGAACCTCTCTCTCTGTCACACAAACAAACGTACATACATATATGTGTTGTTGCTTGTACTTATTTGAATGACAGTATGATGTATCTTACGATAAAGCCAAATAAGTGTGCTATTTGGAAAATTGTCTGTGATTCTAAATTGGAATTTCGAGTTCTTTCTATCTCATTGAACATGATACATGCTAGTGGCCATGAAAAAAAAAACAACTCGGATTTTGGTAGGACACATCTCAAGATACATGTCATGTTTGTTAGTGGTACTCACCGGTCCAATGACTAAGACTTTATTTCCCATTGGTAGAATACGAGATTAAATTTCGTTTTTGTCATCATATATCATATTATTGAAGTGAATAACTGCTGTTCTCATTACAGGAAGTGCCATAGCATAAGGGTGAATGCATCGACGGCTGCGATTGAAGCTGAGGTAAATGTTCAAATATATATAAATTCTAGAAATGTGAATTTTTATTGAAACTGAAAATGATAGAGACAAAATGTGTATAGCTGTCATAGTTCCAGGATTGTGTTGCACGCACGGGTAGGCTTCTCCACAAATAGAATGCTCTTAAATGTTAGATTTTGTAGGTTTGTGTGCCTGGAATTTCACTCACGTGTGTCTTTCATAATTGAAAGTGACTTTTCTCCTTCACATGAATGAATGCCTACATCTACATGCATGTACATGTATATATATGTTTTCTTGATCAAAGTGATTGTGCATGCATTTCTCATAAGCTCGACTTTTTTTCGTAAAATGAAATTGATGTTCTCGACGGTGATCGAACTAATTCAATTGTGATTGGATGCGTATATTTATTACTTCTATTTCAGATTAACTCTTGTCACTTTAGAATTCCAATAATACACTGGTTATTTTTTTTCTCGATTTCCAATAATATTTTTAGCCTCATTATATATATATATGTTCTGGTTGGTCATCATCATCTAAGATGTGTAAAGATATTTATTTTTGTTACAGCTTTATATGGGGATGGGTTTAACTTATTTTCCTAGTGATTTTGTAACATTTGCATGTGAATGTACTTTCCCGAAGAGAGCAACTCACGTGATCAGTTTACGTACAATCCAGCATAGCATATATAATCTATACTATACGCAAATAATATAGTGTAATTATTCATTAATTTTATCATCATATATATATATATATATATATATATATATATATATATATATACACATATATATATAGATTATATATAAATTATATATATATATAAGTTACATATACTGTGAAATAATTATAATTTATATTTTTTATGTGTAGGGAGAGAGAAATAAAAAAAAAATAAAAATAAAAAAAAAACACACACACACACGCGCACACACACAAGTAAACAAAAACACAAATATAAAAAAAAAAAAAAAAAATTTATATGTGTGTATATATATATATATATATAAAAAAAAAAAAAAAAGAAAAAAAATAAATATATATATATATATATATGTGTATGTGGTATATGGAAAAAATAGAGATAAAGAGGGGGAGCGTGTGAGTGTGTGTGTGCGTGAGTTTTCTTTCGCGCACGCGCACACATATGTGAGTGTGAGCCTGTATCATTTTCTATATATATATATATCTCTATCTCTATATATATATATATATATATATATACACACTCGCGCGCGAGAGAGAGTGCGTGTGCAAAGAAAAAGATATAGAGAGAGAGACGGGGTTTGTGTTTTATCGCAATCGAAGTCAAAAAAAGTCAGTGACACTGAGACAGCCACACACACACACACACATAT